GTGGAAGTGAGACTTTAGGTCTTACATTAGGACAGAGTTTATTCTACCTGTCCCTTTAAGTGACCAAAGACAATGACAGACTACAAGACATCTCAGTCCAACTGTTAGTAGCAGATTCAGTGCAAATATTTAGAATCAATCCCTACAAGGATGGAGGAGTGCAGCAGAGAAGCAGAATGCCACAGACTCATTCTGGGCACCTGAGAGTACTGTGGTCATCTGAGAAATAATACAATTAACAACTGAGCCGTCATTTGTACCATTGGACATTTTAAGGCCCTGTTTGTAACATAATGTCTACAAGTTCCTTCAAATTCCTACGACCAAGAGCATGCATACCTGTTACATCATTAGAATGCAAACAATTACGAATTAGAAGACACCTAATTGAGACTGGTAATTACATTTGATTTGAAAACTGAACTGACTTCCAGACTGGGCGTGGTGACACACATCTATAATCCCAGGACTCTGGAGGCTGAGGCAGGAAGATTGCTGTGAGTTTGAGGCCAGCCTAGGATACAAAGTGAGTTCAAGGCCAGCCTGAACTACTTAGCATGATTCTGTCTCAAAACAAACATGTTGGGAGCATTTCTACATAAATTTTGGAGAAAATCACTTCATAATTAAAGTATGACTATAGCTGTCTAAGGCTCCGGTGTCACCTTGCCCCAGAGTCAGCTATGGCATGCGGAAACAATTCTGTTTCGCCTCCAGTCACAGCTGAGGCCTCAAAGGTTGCTCATCCGCAAGATGACACCAGCTGAAGGCATCCTGGTTCCTTGAGAACCAAGTAGTAATACAAGAGAAAGGTTTCACCTGGAGAGGGACCAGTTCCTTATCAGCTCAGCTCATCTCACCTACTGAGATGGGAATGCTTTCCTTTCCGCCCACATCAGCATGAGATTTGCATAGGCAAAGGATCAGACATGAGATCACTTGATGTTTCCTACAACTACTGTGTGTACCCAATAAATAGTGGCTAGCTTGGAGTCTTTATCTGCCCGCTCTGAGGCACTGACCTCCTGGCCCCCCATAGACTTTGAAGTTATGCAAGTCTCTATTGTCTTTTTTTTTCTTTTATAGCCCTCACCTGCTATCCCCCTTTCTAGGCACTTGGGAGGAAATCAGCCTCTGATACAAACAAACAAACAAATACTGACTTCCAAACAAGGCAAGAAACAATATTTTCCCTTCATGAAGTGTCCCCAATTCCCTTCAAAGAGCCAGGCTCCCTTCATCCAAAAATCTACTTTCTTGTGTGCCTCTCTTCTGACATTTAGCATCTTTTGTATTGTATTTTGGTTGTACACTTTATCTCCTTTACTTTTTTGGGGGGGTACTAGGGATCGAACTCAGGACCTTTGCGCTTACAAAGCAGGCACAGTGCCACTGAGCTAAATGCCTGGCCCTATCTCCTTTTCTTTTTCTTTTTCTTTTCTTTTTGCTGTATCTTTGAGTTACTTGAAATTGTATGCATAGACTATTCAGCTCCAGGGCCCCAAGAGGTCCCAGTTCCAAAACAAAACAGAAACCCTGGGACCAGGAAATCCAGCAAGGTGCTGCTGGGATGGGAGCCTATCATCAAAAACCAGAGGCATTTCATTAGGATAGAGTTTGTGAAATCTAAACCTATCAGATCTTGAGTTAATAGGGCTTTCTGCTACTTTCCGTTTCAAATTTACAGTAAATGTTTAATGGAGTTAACGTCAATTTTATTGTCTTCTATTGAGAATAGAGGGCTACTGGGAAAATTATGCTTGCAGGGTAAATGAATGGGAGACTTTTTATTCTTTTCTTTCTT